GCCCTGGTGGAGGTGATGTGGCAGCTGTGCTGTGCTGAGGGCTGTGAGCTGCCTGCCAAAAGCCCCAGAGCTGTACTGTGCTGCAGATCGGTCTAGAAGTGTCTGTGTGGACGTGGACAAGGCGCAGGGCTTGGGTTGGCAGTGAGGACACATGGGCTGGGTGTGTTGCAGGCTGTTCTGAGTGTGCACAGCACAGCTCAGCCAAAGCAGACAAGATTCTTTAAGGCTTTTGGGAAAATGCATGGCTGCAGGAACAGAGCAGGGTTGAAATTGAAGTGTTTGGCATTTTTCTTGGGGAGGAAACTGCCTGCTGTGAAACACATAAAGCCTCCTAAAAGTCTGATTTGGTTGCTAGTGTGGGGCTGAGCGTGGGTCATTCCTCAGGGCTGGCTGTGGGTGCCAGGCAAGCTGTTCTGGCTGTGGGACAGGGATCCTGGATGGAGCAGCCTCTGGCCCAGTGCCCCCCTGTCCGTGCCAGCACTCTCCTGCCTGCCACAGGTTCCCTCTCCTCGGTGTGCATACCTGCCCTGTGGCAGGGAGAGACACCAGCTGTCCTGGTGTCAGGCACTGAAATGCGTTCAGCACCAAAAAATGGGTGTAATTTCAGGTGCATTCCTCAGCAAAGTCATCCCTGGGCTGTGTTGGAGGGGCACTCTGAGTGTCTTGGGTGAGGGGTCAGGAATGACTGGTGTCACAGGACCATGGTGCCATGGTTTTGTTGCTGGTTTTGGTGAGGGCTGGTGAAGATCCTCAGACGTGGTAAGCTTTGACCTGAAGCACAGTGTGGGCTGGGCATGTGGGCCATGTGGGCTGTTCTCAGCATCCTGAGTGTCTTGTAACTCCTGAGTGTGGGAGGGGAAGCAGTCCCTGCAGGCCAGCTCCTGGGGGAGGTTGTTTGCCTCTTTGGGGAGTGCAGGTTGGATTTCCTTCCTCCTCCTCCCTCTGAGAAATACAGGGCAGGGACTTCTGTGTACAAATATACTCCTGTATGTTTATTTATTTGTTTTATTTGTGGGGAACTCAAGCTGTCTGAAAAGACAACAAATACATGCAACTGACAGAGCTGCCCCTGGAGCAGCTGCAGGATCCAAGCATCCTAGGAATCCAAGCTCTTTGGACCATGGGTGTGTTGAAAGGAGGAGGGCATGTGCCAGGAGCCACCTTTGTCTGGACCTGCTGAGGTGCCCAGGTGTGGTGGCAGGAAAAGGCTGGCACAGACTGTTCAGGTGGGGGCTGAGGGGGTCAGGGCCATGCTGTGTCCTGCTGCTGTCCACCCTTTGACCCCTCTGAGCTGACACTATCCCAGCCACTGATGGTTCCTGGGATAGCTCTGCTCTGCTTTAAACTGCCTGTAAGGATTGCTCGGTGTTTTCATTTCATGGTGTTTGTTCATGGTTGTTGATGGTTCCATATTGGCACATGTTAAGGGTGTCTTGGGGCGTATCGAGGACGAGGAAGGGAAGGTTCCTGGGGGAATGGGTGTCTGGAAGGGAGAGTGTTGCTCTGGGAGGTGATTGCTGCCTAGTCCTTGCTGTGAGGGCAAAACTCTGAATACTTGGGGTCAGAAATTTACGATCGTTTTAACCGATGACGAAGCAATTACTGAAATGTTTCTCATAATCTGCAAAACAAATCCATGTCAGGAAATAAAGGCAGAAGTAATGGCTTGGCTTTCATCACCGAGCACTTAAGCAGCCTGCTAATGATTTCAAAAGGCACAACAGAAGAGATCTGAAAGGAAAATGGCAATATCAGATTTATTTTCAAGTTTCATCTGCTTCACTAGAATGAAATCTGAAAAATGAAGGCAAATTCCTGCACATAAGGAGCATGGCAATGGCTCAGGGCCTTGGCCAAGAAGAGGAACTTTAGTTTGCACTACTTGCTGCTGCTCTTGGCTGGAGTTTTGTGGCATGTGACTAGGCCAGAGAGTCTCTGTAGCAACTGAGCGGAGCAGGACAGCTGAGCTCTTCTGCGTCACCAGCGCTGCCTCTTGGGTTAGTCCCATGGAGGTTGAGTGCAGTTCTTTCTGCTCCTTGGGCACAGTGGTTGTTTCAATGCACAGGTGAAGGAGCTGCAGGAAAGCTGCTTTTCAGGAGCCTGTTAAACAATCCTTATGTCACAGGAAAAAGTGGAGCTGTTATTTTCTTGTATTTTCTTTGCTTCTTCTGTGTTTCAAGGGTCATGGCAAAGACTGGATCCTTGCCACCCAGCAATGGCTTTTGCTGGCTGACAGAAGTTGTCCCAGTTTTCTGGTGGAGACCTTTTCTGTTTCCCTTTAAACCCTTATATTAGTTGTATAGACTTTCTTTTCAGTTCACAATAATTTAACTTTTTAACACCTGGTTCATAGAACCTGTCTCCTATATTAGCTGCCTGCTGTGCTGGGAGGGTTCATGCTTCCCTACTAGCAAGCTTTGCATCTGCACTGTGGTTAGTTGCATGCGACATCTCTGTGACTTGAAAAAATACCAGATTTAAGAAATTTCAGTCAGTGTATGAATTTTACAAACGAAGGAAATGGCTTGGGAAGCAAGACACAGCAAAAAGGAGACCAGTCAGCCTTGGGTTGTGCTGTGTGCTGTGAGGGGAGCTGATGGAAGAGGCTGTTAAACGCTGATGTTGGGTGTGTGTGTTTGCAGACAGTGTACTGAGTCTCTCCTCTCTGCAGCCCCAGGATGGTCGATGGAGTTATGCTTCTCCCCGTGCTGATGGTGATGGTGATCCCGTCCCCGAGCTGGCAAGGTGAGTGTCGTGTGTGGTCAGAGCTGTGGAGGAGCAGCTCAGGCCACCTGGCCCTGCTCCACAGCCCTCTGCTTGCGGGGAGAGCTGGCAGCTCCTCTCAGGGGCACAGTGTTTGCTCTGCCCTTTCAAGTTGCTTCAGAGGGTATTGGCTGCCCATTTCAGTGTGAAACATACAGCCTGTGGGATTGGTGTAGGTCTTGCTCGGGGCTGGGGAGGGAAATGGCAGCCTGATTTGAACATCCAGTTGTGAGTGATGCGAGGAGAAGGTCTTTAGGCCCGTGGGCTGAGGTGCAGCTATGCTGATTGTATTCTTACAGTGAAGCTTTTTGTCTGGAAAGGCTCTTTGGAGTATTTAGTATGATGTTTGATGACTCTTCCATGATTGCTGCAGTAAGGGGTTTGGGAAGTGGCTTTGCCATCGCTGGCTCACACGGCTGCCCGCACGGGAAGGTTTGCTGACGCGCAGCGTGTTTAGGGTGGTGTGAAATGTCACAGTACTCTGGAAATTTGAGTGCTTGGGGTGGGCAGACAGACTGGTGTTCCTTTGATGGTGCAAGCTCCTATCTCTGTGGTGCTGAAATGGCCCAGAGAGTGTCATTAACTACAACTTGGTCCTTCTTCAGCACTAGCTGCAAATCATCTCCCTTCCCTTAAACAGAGTAGTTTATTGCCTAATGATTTCATTACCTCCAACTGAAGCTATTAAGAACACGATGTTTTCTCCTCCACTCTCCCCTTTGACAGATGATGAACTGAAGCCCAAGATGGTTGCCTACGAATGTGTGTGTGAAGGCATGTCCTGTGGGAATGGGGATCGGTGCCAAGGCCAGCAGTGCTTTGCTTCCCTGAGCATTAATGATGGGGCTAAGGTTTACCAGAAAGGCTGCTTCCAGGTCTACGAGCAGGGCAAGATGACATGCAAAACTCCTCCGTCCCCTGACCAGGCTGTAGAGTGCTGCCAGGGAGACCTGTGCAACATGAACATCACTGCACAGCTGCCCTCTTCGAAAGGTGAGAGCTTGGGCAGCCCTGGGTTTTGAGAAAGGAAAGGGGCTTGGCTTGGATGGGAGTGCTGTGGTGGGAGTGAGGTGGCTGTGGCACAGCCCCTCTCACACCAGGTGGGCACCGGGGTAAGGGTTGGTGTCAGTGCAACTGGGCTTAAAGACTTTCTCTGGGAATTTGCAAATTCATGCTTCTCTCTTTTTTTTTTTTTTTCCTTCTTTTGCCCTCCCCTCTGTTTTCCAAGGACAAACCTTTCACGGAGATGCTGCAGGTTACAGCATGGAAACACTAATCCTCGTGATCCTGGCCCCTGTGATAGTGTTGATAGTCTTTTCTGCAGTAGCTGTGCTGATCATCCGGAGAATCCAGAAGAACCACATGGAGAGGCTCAATTCCAGGGACGCGGAGTACGGCACGATCGAGGGGCTCATCGCGTCGAACGTGGGGGACAGCACGCTGGCAGTAAGTGACCTGTGTGCAGGGTGTGAGCTGTCCTCACCCCCAGGCTCCCCTCTCACCCCTCCACACAGCCACATCACTGCCAGGGGTTGCCACTCGGCCTCAGCTCTTCTGTGGTGACATTCCTCTGCTCCCAAATCCGTAGTTTGAGCGAGTTTTAACCGGGAGGCAGCTTTGGCATGGGTAGCTCCTTTGACCTGGAGAGCCACTCTGAACTGTGCTCGTGTTCCTGGAAGCAATGGCTGAGCAGCAAAACAGTGTGCCTGACTGTTGGGTGGCCTGAAGTGATGTGAAAGGTGTAACACTGTGGTGTGTCTTTGATATATGACAGCCTGAAAGGCTGGAAAAGATGTGATGGAAGGGGAAGAAGGAAATACAGGTAATTTTGACGCTTGAAGCCTTCAGAACTGACTGCTGTGGTGTCAGGGCTCTGGGATGGCTGGGACATCAGTAACCTTTTGTTGGCAGAGGAGCAGTGGGAATTTTAAGAGATGTGCCATGCTTACTCAAAGCTCAGTTTTTAACTTCTTGTTCACATAGTCTCTGGAAAATGCAATGACTTGGGGAAATGTTCCCTTTCTGCAGGCTGAGTCGAAACAGAGCAAAGTAAGGCTTCAGGGAGCTGGAGAGTTTGTTTCTGAAACAAGTGCAGTTTTCTCCTCCTTGCATTGCTGATACAAAATCTCCTCAACATTGAGACAGGAAAATATTTCCTGTTTCAGTGCTCTCCCACCACAATGTGCTTTCACTGCAGGGTTGAATTGTGGCTAATACCTGATAATCTTTGTTTCTGTAATGCCTTTGGCTCTCTTTAATTAGCCCACAAGGCTTGGTTCTGTATGTGTTGGTGGCTTAAAACAGCCAGTCTTGATATATTCACCATGACCCAGGCATGTGTGCAACTGCTGATCTGTCCTTAGGCACTGACTTCAGGCTTTACCCAGCTCTTATCTCTTATCAGTGCAAGACCATTTCCAGGCCTTTGCAAACCTTTTGCACTTGGCAGTGGAGACAGTGATAAAACCTAAAGAATGAATCAAAACTCTGTTTCAGAGAGCTGGGAGGAGCTGGGAGCTGGGAGGGCTTGGTCTGATGGAGCTGTCAGACCCTCTGAGCCATGGTTGCTGCTCTGCCTCTGAGGGTGGGTGACTGGTAGTTCCTGTGTCTAAATGTTCATCTCAACAGTAAATCTTCTTTAGATTCCAGATTTTCCTTCCCCATTGTGTTTTAAATCACACAGTAGATGAGTTTACATTTAGGATTATTCTCCACAGTGTAGCAAGAGCTTAGAGCCCTAAGCTGCTTAATGGGCATGAAAAGAGCTGTGGCCTGTTCAAATCTTGTTTCGACAGTCGCTGTAGATAAGTTTGGCATTGTTTTTGTTTGGATTTTTTTCTCCTTTTTTTGCCTCTGATACAAGCAGGAAGGAAAATGAGCTCTTAGTTTGTGTTAAAAAGCAAAAGAGTAGTCTCTGTCACTCCTAGATTATCTTGTTCCTGAGCACTCATTAAAATGTTGTTAGAAGAAATGAGATTTCATGGATCTGGTTCAAGCCCGGCAGTGCAGTTTGCTGGAAATGGTAGAAAGTTGATTATACTTGAGCTTTTTTTATCCTATTTTCCTTTGCAAAGGTAAAAAATAAAGTCCAGCCATAGTTGTTAATGCTTTGAACTGTACAGACCTGCTGGCCATAAAAGTAGCTAGGTGTCAGCATTGTACAGGGCAAATGGGATTCTGACCTCCAGCTCATGGGTGTTGTAGGTTTGCAGTTGAAAGATTGCTTCCTGAGCACTGCAAGTGCCAGAAACTGCTAACACTCCTGGTGTAGGTGATGCAGGTAAAGCCCTCTCACCTTGTTTGTTTGAAAGCTGTTCTCAGTTCTAGGTGTCTGTACCAAGTCTGAATGGTTTGGCCCAAAGCTTCCCATGACTATTAGCTCCACAGAATGACTGACTGTTTTTTGAGGGACTGTTCACCTAGCAGGGAAGGAGCTTTGCAGTGAATTATTTGGGTGTTGTCTTGATTTGGGGCAGGGACTTGGCATTTCTCAGCGAAGCCCCTGAGATACAGATGGGATGTGGCTGTTCTTCTCGGGGCTCTGTTCTGGGCCACTTGAGAAGCTTCTGGTGTAACAGATCTGTTCTCTGACCCAGGCAGGTATCTCTGCTGGGTCCTGCAGCTGGCACCTGTGCTGTACTGCTGTACCTGTGAGTCTCACCTGGGCAGATCACCTGTGTGACAGCAAAGTGATGCGTGTGTGATTTGTCTTCTCTGCTATGGCTATGTTGACTTTTAGCATTGAAGTTTGGGACTTGGTTGTAAAAGAGAGGTGTCTAGTGACATGAAGGTGCCCTGTGGCTTTTAGAGCAGCGGTGGGAAAGGGTGGAATGCCAGGATGGAGGATAACTGGTAGGCCAGGAGTGAACTTCCAGGTCACAGGCTCCTACTGTCAGGTACTTATTACATGAAATGACTTATTGAGCAAACACTTCTTGACCCTGAGTGACCAAATGGCATCCCCAGAGCCACTGAGATACCCACGAGCTCTATCCTAATCTGTCCTGACAGGGTGTGCCTCTGTGTAACCAGGGAAAAATGAGGGTTCTCATGGGTTGTAAACATCTGCTTTTCCGTTTGAACAGGATCTGTTGGACCATTCCTGCACATCTGGAAGTGGTTCTGGACTTCCTTTCTTGGTGCAAAGAACGGTGGCTCGGCAGATCACCCTGGTGGAGTGTGTAGGTCAGTGTCACTCTCCTTCACATCTGGTGCTAGCCTTGGCAGCAAACACAGAGAGAAGGCTCTGTCTCCCATCCTCACCAGCTATTTCTCCTGGGCTGTTTATGTAATGTATCCAACTTTTCAGGCTTCAGCTGGTGGGACATACTTGGGTTTGGAAAGTCCAGTGAGAAAATTCAGGTCCCTGCAGAAAAAAAAGGGGCAAATACCATATGTGCTTTGTGATGGAAAGATTGAAGCTTTGTTCAGTAAGGAAATGTTAGGAAATCCAGGCCAGGCCAGTGTGGGTACTGAGTAAGCTAAAGAAACTGTTTCTAGAAAAGCAATCTCTGTTTGAAGTGTGACTGTCAAACTGAAACAAACATCTCTTTCATTAATGGTGTTCAGCTCTAAAGCTTTAGAATTAGACAAGGCTCACCTGGGTGTGAGATCTGGAGTTGAAGCATCAAGCCCAGAAGGTGAATGTGGTGGTTAAAACAGAAACCTGTGATTCTGGGCCATTGGAATGGGAATATGCACGTGTCTGCTCTGCACTGGTCTTTGGAGCCCTGCAGGGATGGATGTGCTGCTGCTGCTCTTCTCCCTCAAAGAGAGAATCTTTCTAGTAATTCTTCCCTAAAACTCTGCTAGATCTTTAGTTTTATTGTAGGACTTTAGTGTTGATTGTAGGGATTCATTCATTTTTTTCTTCAGCATGTATTATTATTAACTGAATAGTGTTAAATTTGAGTTCAGCAATTTTAGGAAGCATTTGGGTCAAAGATACCTGGAGGCAGTGTGACATTGAGCCAAGTGGCTGTACTGGCAGTGAAGAAGTGAGGAAGGCATGAGAATGGTTGATTCCAGTAGGAAAAAAGAGCTGGAATATGTTCTGTGCTGCTGCTTGATTCCAGTAGGAAAAAAGAGCTGGAATATGTTCTGTGCTGCTGCTTCAGTGCCTTGAGCTCTGGGTGGGTTAGCACCTTGCTGTGAGTCCCAAGAAGGTTTAGCTCATGAGGGTGTTAAATGAAGCCCAACTCTAAGAGATGAACCTGTGAGTATGTAGGGACCAGACCCACATTTGAGCTGTGTTTCTTTGCTTTTGGCTCAGAGTGTGTATTGAGTAGGCACAAATGTTCACACTTGCATGGAATGCACAGCCTCTGATGCTGTGTGATTCCTCTGCATGAGGAGCTGCAGGATCTGACATCCACGGTGATCTTACCTGTGACAGAGACATGTTTTGTGTGTGTACACACCTAAGTGTCCCTGGAATCCTGCCTGCTCCAGGTTAGCTCAGGCTGGCACCGTCCCACTTGTGCAGGAGGTGTCTCTGGGGTGACAGCACCAAGGCCTCAGCACTGGGTGTCTCTCTGTTCAGAGAACCTGCTGCTTGTTCCCCTGTGCCTCTGAAGGACCCTGAACTGCAGAGCAAAGAGAGGTAGAATTGGGGTGTTTAGAGTTGTCAGATCTGGCACAAGTCATGGCCTGATGTCTGAGGCTGCTGTATTCAGGCTGTGATGGGAATGGCAACAGCCAGGCCTGCTCTTGCCTTGTGCAGGATGGTGCTTTGCACTTGGGTACTTGATAATTTCATATGTATCTTCTAACCTTTTGGGCCAAGGGCTTGGCCTGCAGACAGTGTGTCCTCATCCCACAGGACAGGGGTGGGTTTGGGCGCAGTTTGGGTTTTTTAATCCTTTTTTTGTTTGTGGGTTTGGGTTTTTGCTTTGAAATCATCATTTTTGTGTGTCTTGACTGTGCTGACTGTTTCTGCAAGGGCTGATGATGTAATGGAAATGTGAAGGCTGTAATCCCCAGCATTACAGGTCCTTCCTGTCCTCCTAAGTGCAGGATTCCTAGCTGGGTGTGTGTTGTGCACACTGACCCTGCTGTGTGCTGCCCGAGTCACTTCAGCTGCAAAAGCACTTCCACTGCTGGTGGCTGAGTGGTGGCACCTCCCAGTCCCACCCCTCTGTGCTGCACTGGTGTGCAGGGAGGAGACATCACACTCACGGGGCTTGCAGTCAGAACAGGCAGGAAGAGCTAAGGGATGGAGCAGCACAGTGTGACTCAGGTGGTGCAGGGGTGATCAGACCACACCTCTGCGATATTTGGACCATGACACTCGAGTTTCCATCCTGCCGTTTGCCCAGTGAAGGTTGTTAGTTGACAATTTCTCCTGTGTTGTTTTTTCCCCCCCCACCAGGAAAGGGCCGTTATGGAGAAGTCTGGAGGGGTCAGTGGCAAGGAGAAAACGTTGCTGTGAAGATCTTCTCTTCTAGGGATGAAAAATCCTGGTTCAGGGAAACCGAGTTGTACAACACTGTATTGCTGAGGCACGAGAACATTTTAGGTAAGGAGGACAGCCACGCTGTGTCCTGGTGTGGTGGTGTAAAGGTGAGTTCCCTAGACTGGCCCTGGCAAAGTGCATTCCCCAGGTGTCTTGCAGAGAGGAGGTTCTTGTGTCATGGTAAACAGTTGAAGGGAAGTTTTCAGGGAGAGATGTGTTGGGAGGGGGCTGAGTCTCAAATGGGGATTGTGTTGTAGCAGCTGTGAGTTGTGGCCCTGCAGTATTTCATCAGGGAGCAGATTAATCAACCAGATGGATCAGTTGTTGGCAGCACAGTGCACAGAAAACAGTGCCACAGACCTCTGTGGAAGAACTGGCCCTTGCAGTGCTCCTCTGAGTCCTGCACAGTGTGTCAGCAGAAGTTCTAGTGGATCTGTGTTTGCTGTAACTTTAGCTTCCCTGGAGATGTGGATGGAGAAAAACTGGGGAGGTGTTTGTAATGAGATTTAAGTATTTGAATACTTTTCCTTATGCCTGAGTAAAGTGCAGTATGAATCCATTATTTCCTTCTGTTTAGCTGTTCTGCTCAGGGTCAGACTGAGCTCCTCTGATGTTTAAACTTCAGCTGTAGTTGAATGATGTGTCTCATTTCCCTGTAAATACAAAAGTCCAGTGAATCCTGCGTGCTCAGTCCTGAGGGCTGGGAAATGGCTTTGTTGTGTTGAGCCGTGGCTGAGGTCTAAGCAGCCTTTGATTCCTGGCAGACGTGCCCTCCTGTCCCTGCTGTGCCACCTCTGCAAATAAAAGCAGCAGCACATTTTGTGAGTGCTGACACTGCCTCACCCGCAGTCTGCTTGTCTTCAATCACTTCTCCTTGGGCTCCTGATTCCTGCTTCCTGTCAGGGAACGTTCCTTGGCTCTGCAGCTCACCCTGCTCGATGTTTGTCTAATGTTTCCTGAAGCAGTTCCTTTGTTACTGCAGAAATAATTTGGTGGCCTTCTGAAATGTGAGTTATTGAACTTCCCTTCCCTAGAGACCCAGTGACTCGGCTGAAATTACATTTCGCATTCCCCTTGGTCCTTTGCCTGTGTTTAGTCTTTCTTGATAACTGTCAAATTTGTTGGCTATTTTATAGACTTTTTTCAGATGCAGTATTAAACAATATCACAGATTGCACAAGTGTCACATTGTGCAGAAATCTGAAGCAGTTGGGTGTTCTTTCTGACAAATGTGGCGTGTGAACTTTTAATAAACATGGTTTGTCCCTCTGCCTTGGGAGTTAAACTTCTGCTGCCTCCCAGCTGAAGCTGTGGAGGTCACTGTGCTGGACACCAGCAATGCAGAGGTGGCAGGAAGGGAGCTACCCCTGGATTTGGGGGTCACTTAAGACACCACAGTTTTGAAGGCAGTTCTTGAGGTTCATAAGCTTTGAACAGAAAATATTCTCTGTTTCTTCACAGAAGGTCACTGTGGTTGGGCTGCATGTTTAACCCTTCCCTCAGCAGCTTGCACTGGCTGCCCATGGGCCCTGGAATGGAAGTGGTTACTCATGGCTTTGCTTGAGGTGTTGGTGCTTTCCAGGGTGACTCTCTCGAGTGGGCAGTGGCAGATGTGCTACAGCCTTGGGGTCTTTCTGTTTGACTGGGAACTTCCTCACCCCAAGTCCTTCAAAAAGAAGGAAAAAATTCAATGTGTTTTGAAAGTATGTAGCCCTAACAAGGAGTTCTTTGGTGTGACTGGCAAATACATGGATTTAGGTGTTAGAGTTCCAGGATGTGTCAGCTGTTCTCATTGCAGTGGTATCTGCACTCGTGGAAGAGTTGTCATTAGAGAGAGGCAAGATGGGCCTGGCAGTACTGATTCTCTTCTTGGGGGAGTCCTGAAGGGAACTCTGTCACGTTATTTTCTCATTTCTCCTCTCTCCCTCTGCAGGTTTTATTGCCTCTGACATGACGTCCCGGAACTCGAGCACGCAGCTGTGGCTGATCACACACTACCACGAGATGGGGTCCCTGTACGACTACCTGCAGCTGACCACGCTGGACACGGTGAGCTGCCTGCGCATCGTGCTGTCCATCGCCAGCGGCCTGGCACACCTGCACATCGAGATCTTCGGCACGCAGGGCAAGCCTGCCATCTCCCACCGCGACCTCAAGAGCAAGAACATCCTCGTCAAGAAGAACGGGCAGTGCTGCATCGCCGACCTGGGTGAGTGCAGTGCTGGGCCTCCTGCAGGGCTCAGCTGTGTTAGTCATTGAGTCCAACCATTGACCTGTCACTGCTGGAACCCCTGAACCCTAACCCAGATCCTCCAGTGCCACATCAGACACCTCTGAAACACCTCCAGGGATGGTGACTGCACCACCTCCCTGGGCAATATCCCAGTGCTGAACAGCCTCACGGGGAAAACATTTCTCCTCACATCCAATCTGATTCTCCTGGCTCAGCTCAAGGCCGTTCCCTCTATCCTCTCCCTGCAGCCCTGGCAGGACACACATGAGAGGTGTGGGATGCCCACACCTCTCTCAGAGCCAGGAGGTCACCCCTGAGTCTCCTCAAGACTAAACAAACTTGGTTCCCTCAGTCATTCCTCATCAGATGTGTTCTGGACCTTTTCTGCCCTTGTTGCCCTTGG